GACCAGCCATGGATAAGCACAGGTCTGGGTGCTGTCCAGCCACCCCCCAGGCTAGGTCTGAAGCCTGGGGGTGGGCAGTGCCTGGAGTGTGGGAAGAGTTTCCCTAGGCCTCAAGTATGGAGGAGGCCTGTGTTGTTATCAGAGGAGGCGAACCAGGGAATCTGATGTCTGCTGCAGGTGTCTGGAACATAGATAATCTCAGTAGCATGGCTGGTGTCTCTCCTGCTGAGGATTTGTGCTCATCCCTGATCATCTGTTACTCCAATTACTATTCGCTGTATCACAAGTGGATCTACACTGAAATACTAACAAGGTCTGGTGAGTCTGGAGTCTATGTCTGTTGCACCATAGATGTCTAGGATCCCTACACCCTCTCTCCCCAGTATGAAAATGTTATTACTGCAGTGGACATCAGCTTTGTGGGCACTAGAAGAGAGCGGTTAAATGCTAATGGGGCGGCTGAAGACCAAATCCCCTAGACAACTAGTGATGACCCGGGTTATTCCAGCAGCTCCTTAAGGGGTGAGCGCTACAAGTATAATACAAAACACAAAAATTCCCCAGCCCCAACCTGCCAGCCAGCCTGCAACCAAACAAGTAGCCCTGCCAACAGTATGCGTTAAAATCAGAGGTTTTAGTTGCACAAACTTTTGGCCAAAAATATGTAGAAGCCACACTGCCGCGCCAAGGCACCTCTGCAAAGTGTGGTCCTAACTCTATGTATCTGAGTCTCCAAGTGTGAGCATATTAATGAAGTCGATAGATTGCATGCAGGTGTACCTGGAGGTAGCCTACTCCTCCTAATAAGGTGCAGGGACGCACTGGGGGCCCAGCAACCAAAAATGCACGCTGGGACCCCAGTGCATCCCCCTAACCAAAAATTATTAGGAGGAGTAGGCTACCTCCAGGTACACCTGCATGCAATCTATCGACTTCATTAATATGCTCACACTTGGAGACTCAGATACATAGAGTTAGGACCACACTTTGCAGAGGTGCCTTGGCGCGGCAGTGTGGCTTCTACATATTTTTGGCCAAAAGTTTGTGCAACTAAAACCTCTGATTTTAACGCATACTGTTGACAGGGCTACTTGTTTGGTTGCAGGCTGGCTGGCAGGTTGGGGCTGGGGAATTTTTGTGTTTTGTATTGTTGTAAGCCTTCCCATTGTGCTCCCTGCTATAAAGGCTGGTTATGGATTCATGCATGTACCACTTCTTTCTAGTTTGACTATTTTTGGTTAGGGGGATGCACTGGGGTCCCAGCGTGCATTTTTGGTTGCTGGGCCCCCAGTGCGTCCCTGCACATTATTAGGAGGAGTAGGCTACCTCCAGGTACACCTGCATGCAATCTATCGACTTCATTAATATGCTCACACTTGGAGACTCAGATACATAGAGTTAGGACCACACTTTGCAGAGGTGCCTTGGCGCGGCAGTGCGGCTTCTACATATTTTTGGCCAAAAGTTTGTGCAACTAAAACCTCTGATTTTAACGCATACTGTTGACAGGGCTACTTGTTTGGTTGCAGGCTGGCTGTCAGGTTGGGGCTGGGGAATTTTTGTGTTTTGTATTGTTGTAAGCCTTCCCATTGTGCTCCCTGCTATAAAGGCTGGTTATGGATTCATGCATGTACCACTTTTTTCTAGTGAGCGCTACAAGTGTTTAATTGGGAAAGTTTCTCTGCACTTCCTGTGCTGTAGACACAACTGGAAGTGAGAGGGGATCTTCCCAGAGGGAGTTAGTTGTCACCAGAATAAAGGGTTCATTTATACATTGTATTTCTATACCCGTCACCGCCATCTAGGGGCGCTAGAGCCATGCAAATGACATCCGCCTGGCTATAGACTGACCGGAACTTTTATAAATGAACCTTTATGTGTCCCTGTTCTCTTTATTTCTGTTTTGCTGACACCTTTCTGTCTCATTGACAGTGGGAATGATCAAATAAACCTTCATCAATGTAGCCAAATCTAAAAACTTTAGACTAGGGATGCACCGATACCGATACTAGTATCGATGCCAAGTATTTGGGCGAGTACTCGTACTCGCCCAAATGCTAAGATGCCTTGCCCGATACTTGAGCTTCTGGTAATAGGAAGCCGGGCAGTGAGTCATTACATGCTGCCTGGCTTCTTGATTGGCCGGGAAGTTGTCTCAATGGAGCTGGCCAATCAGTAAGCCGGGCAGCATGCCCTTACACGCCCCCGGCTTTCTGATTCGCCAGAAAGCCGGCTTCATGTTTCCCTTGTCAACTGGTGACGAGGGAGCATGAAGTCAATAAGGAATCCGGGCACTGTGTAATGAAGCGTTGCCTGGCTTCCTGATTGGGCAGCTTCTCGACCAATCAGGAAGCGTCATTACAAGGCACCCGGCTTCCTGATTGGCCAGAAAGCTGGCTCCATGCTTCCTCGTCACCTGGTGATGAGGAGCATGGAGACGACTTCCCTGCTGATCGAGAAGCCGGGTGGCGAGTCTTTACACACCGCCCGTATTCTGGTGCCTATTGAACAGTGCAGTAATATTAGACACACAAGTCATGAGGAGGTGTTTAGTACAATGTCCATCCAACTGAATATCTATTTATGTGATTCAAATGGGGCTTCTAAGGTCCTATTAATAAACTAATAAACACACTCCCATCAGTAATGATACCGCACAATGAGCATGAGAGCATTATATCTTAGATGAATGTGCAGTTCATTATGGAATAAATAACAGGAAATGCCATTTGAAGTGTATGTGAAGGGGCGGCACACAATTCACACTTCTAACTCAATCAACTTGCCCAGAGGACGTTTATTTACCATAGCACAATCAGAAAGAGCTTAAGGTGAACTGAAAATGTCAACATCAAGCTATGTTTTCAGTCTTGGTGGTATAGTTGAAGAGTAAGGGCTGCTGTTGGCTCCCTCTAGTGCAGGCCACATGTTGGAAGTCCTAGACACTTGGTCACGTAATCTCTCCTGAAGGCAAGGATCGTCTTTCAGATTGGCTTATCTGCTCCTTTAGTAGCAATCTCATCCATGGTCAAGTGTCTAGGGCCTTCAGACATATAGTGAGCAAAGAAACAAAACCTAGAGCACTATGTTCTCCAGGAAACATAGCCATTTCAGCCCTTCTATTATTTTTATGTATTAATCCCAGACTTTATATTATTAGTTAAGTACAGGACAGAAAGAGACACATCACTAAAATAAATGGTGTCCTTCCCGCCTCTAAAAGAGTCAACATGTCCTTCTATCTATATCAAATATGCAGTATGTTATTTGTAGCAATATATCAAATAAATAATACAATTGCAGGAAAAAAAGAATCTTGTGATCTGTATAGATAGAGAAGGACTTACAACATTATATTTAAAGATTTAATTTGCTACTTGCTTGTCGGTTGAATTAAAGTTAACGATAGGCGGTGAGCGTATCATTTCTTTATGTGGTCTCCCATGCTCCCTCTGGATTCTTCCCAGCAGATGGATGGATTTGTCACATACGAGACAAATAAAAAATCATGCTTGTGGGTTTGCATAATCACTCTGAACATTCTATATCAATTCCCTCCACGCCAAACTCTACAGATGTCATTGAAGGAAAGGAATTGTATCTGTGACAGCTGCTTACAGAACTCTGCGTTCTGCTGACTTTGAGTCAATTTATTTCTTTGACTTTGAGTTCTTTAATTTGTGTTGGACTTTCACTGAGAACTCAGGAGTAGGGATCAGCTTAGGTTCGGCCTGAACTCGGCCTAAACCTGAGCTCCTCCAAGTACAAATCCAGAAAGAGCTCTACCCAAACACATAAGAAAGTTACCCAATTAGCTGCTGTCAGGGAATTCCCCAACCATAGCTTGACATAAGCAAAGGGCCGGAAGGCAGTGATGTAATTGGCCTTATATGGCTATATGCCTACATTTGGGGTCAGGTGCAGGACTGTAGCCAATTACCGTTTTCGGACGGCGCAGTGCATTGTGGGATGTGCCGTGGTCGAACAGACCGCGGACATCCCATACTGTTCGGCGTTCGGCGAACGCTAGAACATGCAATGTTCGAGTCGAACCTATGGTCGACTCGAACATGCAGCCCATCCTTAATCCTGACAATACTGTCTGTATCCACCCAGCTGCGGGATTGATATAGGCATCTGGATAGGCAGAGCCAGCTGTGCCTGCCCCCTCCCCTGTCCGTTTCGCCAGTCAGCACTGGAGGATCGGACAGGGGAGGGGGGATCCCTGCAGGGAGCCGTGAGTGACAGTCACTCACGGCTCTCTGCAGGGATAGATCGAGAGGTGAGCGAACGCCGGTATGTGTTCGCTCACTTCCCGATCTACTGAGCCGACCTGTGACAGTTTCATTGTCACACGTCGGCACAAACTATGAGGATGAGTGAAAATCACTTGCCTCATAATTCTCCTTTAACTTACATAAATGCCATGTTAGGTAAATGATATCAGCAAAAGCCTATCCCACCTCAAACTAATTACTCAACCATCACGTTCTCAGATAATTCAACCCCACACAGCTACCTCCTCATGTATCACTGGCCCCTCCCTTTTATATTGTAGGCCCTCCTTACCATGTTGTCTTGAATTGTATTGTGATTGTCTTCCTTATATTGTAAAGCGGGTCCCCATACATTCCTATGGGGACCGTTCATGCGATCGCCCGGCTCCGCGCGATACGATCCGCCTGCCGCCCAAAATGCTCCCTGAGCCTTTTTTTTCCACGCTGATCAGCACGGATTCCATACAGATTTAATGGAGCCCCACTAATCAGTGCATTTATGGGCATTTTTAATTGCGTTTCACTACTGAAAAGCAAATACAAACGCCCAGAAACGCCCTTTTAAAATTAGTGCGGAAACTGCGCTGAAATGCATCCGCCCTGGTGTCATTGGGGCCTCAAATAAAATATTAAACAGTAAGGAGGATCATTAATGTTTCATTTGCCAGAAATGCCAAGATGATAAGATTTTTCTTTTGATCAAACATTTGTTTCTTTTCTCAGATTGCCGATTTGTTCATTAACAAACTCAATCAAGACATGGTTCATTTTGAGCTGAAACCCGGCGTACGGATCATGGTCCATGTAGCTCATCTAACAGCAGGTAATTGCTACAATATACATTTTCCTTGGCTTGTCTGTAATGATATGTTATGTTCTAGAAGACCACAGCAGATGAGCAGGACTCATCATGGTAGGTAGCGCGATCAACCAAAAATGTGCTTCTAACAGCATATCGTTTTCCCATGTTGGAGAAACATAGGTTGGGTTCTATGTCAGAGAGACATGATTTGTATTGTATGTTAGAGACATATAAGTTGCATGATGGAGAGACATAAGTTGCATGTTGGAGAGACATGAGGTGTATGTTGGAGAGACATGAGGTGTATGTTGGAGAGACATGAGTTGTATGTTGGAGAGACATGAGTTGTATTGCATGTTAGAAACACATAAGTTGCATGTTGGAGAGTATCACGTACCTGGTAGAGGACCGATTAGCTTAGGAGGCCTCCCTTGCGGCTCTTGTCTCATACCCCTGGATGTGGGGACAGGGAGCGAGTAGACAGAGAGAAGCACGAGTGCCAAGGTGTTCAGACACTGCGCCTGGTAACAGTCCGGCAATTGGTTCCCTGGGAGGATGAGCAGGGCTGGTGTTCACCTGAGAAGTCAGCGTGGTATACAGCAGGAACTGGAGCGAAGTCAAACAAGCCAGGGGTCAAAAGCCAGATGGTCAGCACGGTACCAAGAGAGAAGACAGAAGCGAAATCAGGAAACAAGCAGAGGTCAAGGGCAGGTAGCGATCAGGCGTAGTCAAGGAAATCCAGGTCAAGGCAACAGGTAATCAAACTGACAGGAACAAAAGCTCAAAGACCGTTTAACACTGACCCATTGGGCAAGCCAGTTTACATAGAGTCATCTATCAGAGAGAGAGGGACGTATCAATTCCTGTGTGGCACTTTCATACGTCCGTTATGTTGCCAGCGCACTAGCTCATGTTTTTAACTAACCCGAAAGACTGGGACCGGCTCATGCGCAGTAGCACACAAACTCCTGGCTGTGGCCCTACAGAGAGACATGAGTTGTATGTTTGAGAGACATGAGTTGTATTATATGTTAGAGGGACAATAGCTGTATTGTTAGAGAGACATGTTGCATTGTATATTAGAAAGGCTTAGATGTAGTAAACATGAGTTGTATTATATATTAGAGACAAGAGTTGTATAGAGGGACATAAGTTGGGTTGTATGTAAGGGGGGGGAGGGGGCAATTGGCCACAGGTCACATGGAGAATCGATGTTTTTTATTTCTTCATTATGTGTTTTTGTTAATGTCTGATCACCATATTACCTGTCTGGGAGGCCATAGAGGCCATTTTTTTTGCATTTTCTTTGTGGTTTTTTTCCCCTTTTATGGCTTTAGCTTAACATTTCATCCACAAATTAAAAAAGAAAAAAAGATTTGCCTGAAGTTGATTGAGTTGCTTTGATACCCAACTCAAGGCGCCTTGTTCAGGCTGGTCACTTGATGCAGAGGGTCCTCTTTGGTCTTCTCCAGCCATGGGTGATCTTGGATAATACAGAGAGTGGCGCTGACGTAATAAAGCCAGCACTACTGTCTTTGTCAATACACTGTGGGTGCAGGGTGCTATGCTCTGGGGACAGGGCCATGATGTCCTGTTCTCAGTGTTTAGCAAGTGTTCCAGGTTGAGTGACTCTGGGCACACAAAAAAAAAAGAAACCTCCAAAAGAACATTTAAAGGACAAAAAAAACATTAGCTTTAGTTGTACGTATCGTCTCTCATACTAGTTAACTACTGTACATGCAGGGCCGGATTTCCCACAAGGCCAACCGAGGCCCAGCCTCGGGGCAGCAGGGAGTAGAGGGGCAGCAGGGGTGTGGAATTCCTATCTCCAGATATCTGGGACATGTAGTTCCGGGCACCGGGCGGGTAGTTGTTTTCTACATTTACCCCTACTTTGGGCAAGCAGGGCTAAATGTAGAGCGGGGAAGGCGCTGCTTGTTTTGTACAAGTGATCTCAGCGATGTCGCCAAGATCACTTGTATGCAGCCTGCATACAGGGGGGCGCATTGAGGAACCTTCATTGGGGCAGCAGAGAGAGTAAATCCAGCCCTGTGTATATGTCGATTATTATAAAGAGCATAACTCAGATTGCTCCAGGAACAGTAGAACCTTAAGAAATTAACTTGTTAGGCCTTCAAAGCAAGGTGTTTTTTCCAATGCAAAAACAGAAATCCACAATGATCCTTTCCTTTGAATACAGCCAACTAATTACTCATACCTAGCTGAATAAAACCCTTCTAAGTCCCAGATATGTCCAAATTGCTTATAAATAAGGTCCCAGATCATACTTGGGAATCCAGTGGAGGTAACAGATGTAGTGGAGACTGCGAGTAAGTGGAAAATTATCCAGGGACGTCTCGGTGGAGGAAAGGCAGGATGCAGATAAGAAGGTCCACAGTGTGTAACTTACATCTTGCTAGCGCGGTTGTTAATAAGTTCCTGGGGAATGTCAATTCGTGTTCTTGCATACCATTAGCGCCAGAGCAGATGTTGCTAGTGCCCCGGCTCTATACGGATTGCATACCACAGCTCACTTTCTGCTGTCTTCTGCAGGACGCCTATTCATTTACAGGCATCTACAGAGAAGCTAATGAGCTGTTTTCTGTGTTTCACAAATTAAAGGGTCAGTCCACTCAAAACTAATATGTCAGTGTTTGGTAGATGCTGGAGAGTTACACCACGTGACAATTTCCTCTGTGTCTCAGGGACCCTATTGCGAGATCTCGGGGGGTCTGTTCACCTGATGTGATCATTACAAGGGGATTCTGAAGGATATTTTACTTCTTTTATATTATATTATGAAGAATGTAAGAGGAGGGATTGGCACACACCAAGGTGGACGCGAACAGCCAAAGCTTCCAGGTGGGACAGGAACAGAATTTGGAGACTATAGCAAGGAGATCTCAATGTTGCAGGAGCATCCAGGAACTGATTCCACTTATAGCTAAAATATTACTTTGGGTGGACTGACACTTTAATTGAGACATTATTATGATTATGAAACAAAGAAAAACCATCACTCCAGAATTCAATTCTCCATTTAAAGTATATGTAAACCCTTACAATGAATTGGCCTTCCATTTGGCCTGTTAAATATACCATTGAAGGTGTTTTGTTATATCTGTTCGATAAGTGCAAAAAAAAACCCTGTTGATCATGCCAGAAACTTTGTGAGCGGACAACTTCCTGTGCTCTCCGCCTGCGCTGTACTCTTATCAGTTATCATTGTTCGCAGTTCTCTGTTAACTATTAAACACCACCATTTGTGCTGACACTCTTCCTTCTGGAGGGGGGCCACTTTGTTCCCCATGGTCCCTGTGTGTGTTGTAAAGCAGTCACCGCTCCAAGCTCGCTCCCGGGATGGACTACAATCTCATGTTTCGTTTACTAATTTGTAGTGAGATTGTAGTCCATACCGGAAGCGAGCTTGGAGCGGTGACTACTCTACAACACATACAGGGACCATGGGGAACAAAAGTAGCCCCCCTCCAGAAGGAAGGACAGTGTCAGCACCAATTCAGAGATGATTGGAGGATTTACAGCCGAGCGATAGACAAATAAGATACATTGTTGTTCATAGTTAAGGTACTTGAATGCATTTTTAGGATTTAACTCCGGAGTTTTATCACTTTAAATAATGAAGTATAGTGAGTGCATATAAAAGGCCACCCACGTCTTGGGAATACACAGATCCCTTTTCACCTGCTGACAAAATAAGGGAAATTCACAAACCAAAAGCTGCATGTACCTTTAGTCTGGAGATATCAATAACCTTCTTTTGACCTGCATTTGATCTGCTTCAAACTGGTTTTGCATTCTAATAAACTTGAATTCAAAACCAGCTTGAAGTGCACCAATGCCTGTCAACAGAGGCCCCTAAAGAACCTAAAGTGGAAATTACCTTGAAAAAAAATGCTAGTCAATAGTATAGTCTTTGTATGTTTCTTCTGTCAAAATAACTGCCTTTATGTTGAAAAAGTCATTTTTCCATTTGCTAGTTATGTCTCTTGCATGTGCTGTGGCAGCGTACACTCTTAGCATCTGTATATTTGAGCCTGGTGGCAAGATTATGCAACTCCACCGGGCATATGCAGGAGTTGCATCATCGGTGATGTCCACCCAATGGCCAAAGAAGAAGAGCACCAAGTGTAGGAGAAAATGAGGATAGCAGCAACAGAGAGCATGGAGAGGTAATCAGTGAAGGAGGGAAAACTCAAGGTAAGTTTTCCATGCATACTTGCACATTGTGGCAAGTTCTCCTGTTAACAGGGATCCACAGTAGAAGGACGGTGGTCCTGATTCCTCTATATAGATCTTATTTATCACTAGAGGTCCAGCAGGAGGAAGGAGGTCCTTATTCCTCTATATAGATCTTTATTATCACTAGAGGGGTCCCCAGCAGGAGGAAGGAGGTCCTGATCCCTCTATATAGATCTTTATTATCACTAGAGGGATCACCAGCAGGAGGAAGGAGGTCCTTATTCTTCTATATTGATCTTTAGTTATCACTAGAGGGATCTCCAGCAGGAGGAAGGAGGTCCTGATCCCTCTATATAGATCTTTATTATCACTAGAGGGATCACCAGCAGGAGGAAGGAGTTCCAGATTCCCCTATATAGATCTTTGGTTATCACTAGAGGGATCCCCAGATTCCCTGGCAATAGGAAGAAAGGGGTTCTGATTCCCCTATATAGATCTTTATTATCACTAGAGGGATCCCCAGATTCCCTGGCAATAGGAAGAAAGGGGTTCTGATTCCCCTATATAGATCTTTAGTGAGACCTCATTTAGAATACTGTTTCCAGTTCGCACTTACAAAAAGAAATTGGAAAGATAGAAAAAGTCCAGAGACAGGCAAGAGAAATGGTGAAATGTCTGAGGGATAAAAGGAGAGACTACAGGAATTTAATATATCCAGTTTTGCGAAATGAAGGGAAAGGATGGGCACGCATGAAAAGTTTAGACATGAAGGGTTTAAGAGTACAGTATTTTCAATATGAAGCTGAAATCAAGAATATGGGGATATGACCTTGAACTAGTAGGAGGAAAGTTCAAAACCAACCTTACAGTTGTATGATTTTAGCAATAGAGTAGTTGATGTTTGAAACAAACTCCCAACACAGGTGCTGAAACAACAGTAAGTACATTTAAAAATGCTTGAGCCCAATATAGACTCAGACCAAAAGATCAAAAACATAATAATAAAAAAAGGAATGACTCTATGCACTTGGTCTTTTCCAACGATCGCTATATTTCCATAAGATGCCTGTCATAGTGCATAGAAGGGTCCCAGGCATTGTGTAAATTGAAATGGAAATAAAGAAAGAGAAAAAAAACATCGATATCTCATAGGAGAAAATCCATGTCTATGTTTTGGAGCAGTCTGCCTTCACCGGAGTCATTTTACATTTACACCACCAATAGCTGCCACTTCGCATCAGGCATTAACTTGAAGTATGAGAGATGAAGAGAGGAAAAGACAACATCATCTTTTTAAATGAACAGCATTTTTAATAAGAAGCCAATTAGAAAAATGGGCCAACAAACAATGCTCAAAGTATAATTCCATTACATTTCCGTAATGGGCCTCTCATTAGAGAAGTTTGGGGATTTAATCGAACTATTAATCAGTTGTTGTAACGAAGATTAAAGACCGTACTATTGTCTTGTTTTCTTTTTTAATGAACTGATGTCTCTTGTCTATTCAGATTTTAATTAGATATCTATATATATATATATATATAGATCTATATACATAGATCTATATATATAGATCTATATATATATAGATCTATATAAACACACCTATTCCTCACTTAACGACCGAGTTCCGTTCCTACGACCAGGTCGTTAAACAAATTGGTCGTTAAGCGAGGAACTGTATACAGTACTGTATAGTGTTGCAGATGTACAGTACTGAACAGTGTACTGTAAATCGGGCAATAAAATACTTACCAAGACCCGCAGTGAAGAACGGAGTACAGCACTTCCGCCGGCGTGACGTCGCATTGCCTCTGCCACATTCCCGCACGTAAGGTCGGAGAGCTGGTTGTAAGTCGCAAAACAGGTAAGCCGTAAAGCGAGGAATGTCTGTATATATGGGGCATATTAGCTCATTACATACACGGCCCCTGGTTCCTGTGCTTTACTGCTCCTTTTCACAATGCAAGTCATTGGGGTTGATTTACTAAAGGCAAATTGGCTGTTCACTCTACAAGGGAATTTGCACTTTGCATGGGGATTTTTCCTTAGCTTAGTGAATCTGGTACAAATTCACTTTGCAAGGTGTACCCAATTACGAGCCAGCCAAATACAAAAGCAATCTTTTTTGCTTGCATACAACTGATGATATGAATTATGGAAGTCAGTGCATCATTACCTCATTCGCTAATCTAAGGGAAAATTCCCTTGCAAAGTGCAAATTCCCGTGTAAAGGGACTAAAGCCTGTTTGGTAAATCAACCCCTTTGAGTTGGTCAACCTAGTAAAAAAATAAAGCCAACGTACTCCCTGTGTGGCTGATGCATTTGCAGTTAAGGGAATGACAGAGTAATTACATTGAGCCACTGAAAGCTCCATCTAGTGTAAACATTTACTAACTGTGCCAAAGCCCCCCAACTTTATTTTAAATTCATCATGTCACGTGAATAAAGGACTTTGCCATCATCCGGGCATTTATAAATACAGTATATATTTCTAAGGGGCTGACTGATCTTCTTTTCAGATACACATGATCAGCCAATGTTTGGGGCAGATTTTTGGCCAAACAGACATCTGTGACTTTTGCTAATTGATGTAAGAGGCTTGTAGGTGGGGCCTTATTGTCACGATTATTAAGACTGCTCTCGTTGGTAATGTCTACTAGTGACATGAGGTGGTTTGCTGCTCGAATGGGTGGGCTGGTCTTATGTAGAAGAAGAAATTAATGTCTGGAAGAAAATGGGCAAGGCAGGTTGGTTGAGACGACGTGCAAGTGGACCTCTGCAGAGATTAGGCACTGTTCCCCTGTAAGTATTAGTTTAGCCTTTGCGATGGAAGTTCACCAACATGGCAACCATGGCTTCCCCATGATAGATGAGCATGGGAAAATAATCCTTGTGGGGCAGGAACTGGTATCCGAGCCCCTTTTTAGGACCTGCTTGGTGAAGGCAGTAAAAAAAGTCCATGTATTGCCTGGATTGTGTGTGGGACCATCATAAGAGGCCGGGCCAGTCGAATGAGATCCAATGCCACTTCCAGTGAGTTGGATAAAACCTTTTTCAGAGTTTAGTGTATGTATCGTACTGGACCATTTACAGATGGAATGTCAATAATATTGGATCATTAATGGATTGCATGTTGTGGAGCATTTTTTCCAGATGTTTCGAGCATCTTTTAGAGAAAATTCCAGTGTCTGTTGAATAAAGAGACAGAAGCGGCATGCAAGGTCACACAAAGTTCTATTTGTTCAGGCTGAAATGGTTTAATTTTAGTGATTTTGAGTTCATCATGTGTCAAATTCATGAGTCCGGTGCCACCGTTACCATACCACAAGGCCCAAGATTAGGGTTGCTTTATTAGTTATAAAAATGGGGATCACCAGATCAGGGGAGTCCACCAACAGATCCACCACCAGATCCACCAACAATCCTGGAGTTCTGCTGCATATCAGTTTAAGCAGCACAGCAAAACCTGCTTGCCATCACAGTAACGAGTCACTGATTGAAGTCATTAGGTTGCTGATTATGGTGATGAGGATAAGACCTATGCAGGGCATAATGGACTATGTCTCCAGATTGAAGACTACTGGGGAGTCTGTTTTAAGAAATGGGGGACCCACTAATGAGATATCTGAGCCCACTCATTTCTTAAAATGTCCCTGTCCTAGATGTTATATTTACTACATATTTGTGCTGTAATTGTTCTGAAGTCTTGAAGCATTCTCCTTTGCCTTTCATAGTCAATAAACTTAGCCACTTTGCCCTTTGCAGCTCCCTTGGTGGACCTGACGCCAAGTCACAGCGGCTCGGCCATGCTCATGCTGTTGTCCGTGGTCTTCGTGGGGCTGGCCGTCTTCGTCATCTACAAATTCAAAAGGTAATAGCAGTCATGTTCCTCTTCTAGTGGTGTCGCCGGCCGACTGCTGCCCAAAGCAATGACGTCTCTGTTGATGTTTTTAGGAAAATTCCTGGAATTAATGTATATGCACAGATGCAGAATGAGAAAGAGCGAGAGATGGTCAGTCCAGGCAGTCAAAATGAAAGCTTGTCACCCATTGTCACTCAGACTCAGTCGGTGGGTCCTCAACATCTGTTAGAGGGCAAGTTGGAAGCACAGCCCATAGGTAAATAAGTAGCTAGTCCTTGATTTGCTGGGCAGGAACCCAACCTTGCTAGCTGTACCTGTCTGACCGAGCACTCTGTATAACCCTTCTTTTTCTGAGATAGTCAGAGGGATTCAATAAATATTTGCAAAGCATTAAAACAAAGACAAAAATATAACTTTTAAGAAGCTGGTGAGTCTTGTAGATCTCACCCTGCATCAGAATACTGTACACATGATTTACTATGAGCACATGAGAGCAAACCCAATCACTAAACCCAAAGCACTTCCTGCAGTAGGGTGACTATTATATATTCTTTTGTTTCCTTGCATTGTCATCCTGTCACTTATTATCCCAATGGATACTATCCCAGGGCCTCCAAAGGCCATGCCAATGCATATTGTACATGGTTCATTGTTGATGCCTTCAGGTTAACCCACCCGGAGAAATGCCATGCACTAATTTGCTTTGGTACATGTAGAAAGGAAGCTGCTGCCGAGAGGCTGCAGGAGATCAGTAGAACTAATATGTGATAAAGGAAAACAGTATTAGCAAATGACATGACATTCAGTAAAGGTTTATATGTCATTTAATGGAATGCATTTAAAAATATCCCTAGTATACATACCTAAAAAGGGTCTTAATATTAGTTTCATCTTGTGGCATTACTAATGATCATCAAAACATGTAAAACTTAGACATGCATAAAAGAGCAGGTACCACTAAGTGTCATGACATTCCTCCGTTGTACTTACTGGCTTCTCAAGGCTAAAAAGAAATGAACTGAGCAAATATAGACTTCATGTAAGTCTCAGCGTAGGTGTCCCCCTTCCCTCAAAGCATTCTAAGAAGAAGGTCAGGGAGTGCCAGGGAGTTTGCACAATTACAAAGGCATTGACACTCTACATGTGCTATTTTCCTGTGTAGAACCACAGGAATAATCACAAGAGCATGCTCTATGCTTTTGGTTATTTAAAGATAGCTGAAGTTTTAGCACAGTTATCTTCTGAATCTTTCCCCCAAGCAACTCCTTCAGGACTCTTACTTGTCCCCAATCTTCTATGGCTGATGGTAGCTGCACATTTTCTCCTCCCGGGTGGTGGGCTCTTATATAGATCTCCATTCCTATGGAAAAGCCTTTAGCAGTTGTAAAGGACTTTAGAAAGCCTTTCCGTAGAAATGATTTGCAGCACACATACAAGGAACAAAAAGGCCTGGCCTGATAATCTATGAGGAAGAAGCTGTGCGTCTTCCAGTGGGGACCTCGGAGGTGCATGGATAGGTAAGTATATTACAGTATATGAGTATAAAGGTTTTTGGGCATCTGACCTTCACACCTCTTTAAGCTTGAGAGCAATATGGAATTCCCCCTCCTTTTGCAGCTATAGTAACCTCCACTCTTCTCGGTACACTTTCCACAACACTTTAGAGTATGTCTGTGGGAATGTGTGCCCATTCATGAGGTCACTAACTGATGTTGGATGAAAAACCTCGCTCACAATTAGCCTTCAAGTTCATCTCAAAGGTCTTCAGTAGGGTTGAGGTCAGGGCTCTGTGGTGGACACACGAGTTCCTCTATATCAAACTGGTCTAACCATGTCTTTATGATGCTGTGCTTGCACACAAGAGCACAGTCATGCTGAAACCCTGTTGCCACAAGGTTTGTTTAGAATTATCAGGCCCGGATGCAGACTCTATAGTCAGTGTGTATAGTGGTGAGTTGTTTCACCTCTAGCAGCCTTCTTTCCCCTAAGACTAGTGTGCCTACGGGTACTTGGATTACCCCCAAACTATACACTCTGGCTATAAATGTTGCAGGTGCCCCCCCAGGAACAAAGGAGTAATGCTGACTGGTGACAAAACAAAAGATATAAACAGAAATCAAGATAGCAGACAGGATCTGGATACAAAACACAAGAAAGGAACTGGTTACAAGACAAATACAGGACACACATGGTACAGGATTCAGGAAACAAGACAGGTACAGGATTCAAGAAAAGTACAGGATGCAAGATACAAGATCAAGATATACAAGGCACGATATTGGCTTGTGCAGACACAACTAGAATGAACTAGACTGACTATAACAAGCCCAGAGCTCCAGGCTTGAGATACTTAAAGAAAGTGCCACCAACCAATCCCAAGGCTGAAGGCCATGTGGCAAAGCTCTTTAGCTGATGGAGAGATGCTAAGGGTGTGTGGCCAGGCTCATGAGCCCGAAACTGACAAAGAGATAGTGAGGGTTGTGTGGCCAGGCTTATCAGCCCACAGCTGACGGAGAGATACTGAGGTGTGTGTGGCCAGGCTAATCAGCCCACAGCTTACAAGACTAGGATAGGTACAGTGGCAGCAAGCAACCACCAGAGGGAGCTGGGAGATTACGACAGGTATAGCATTAAAGGAGAACTATGGGGTTAAGGCTTTTCCCCATAGTTCTCCTTAGGGTAAAGGGAGGACACAAACTAGTGTCCTCCCTTCACACTAGGCTCAGTATACCGTGAGCTACAGCTACAGTATACTGAGACGCCGCAGCTGAAGCGGATCTCGACAATTATGCCGGAATCCGCCCAGCTGCGTGACTGACAGCTGGCTCTGCCTATCTAGAGGCAGAGCCAGCTGTACCCACCCCCTCCCCTGTCCGTTCCGCCAGTCAGCGCTGGCGGAGGGGGGAATCCAGCCCCTCCCCTGTCACGGCAGAGAGCCGTGACAGGATCGAGAGGTGAGCGAACGCCGGTATGTGTTCGCTCACCTCCCGATCTACTGAGCCGACCTGTGACAGTCTCATTGTCACAGGTCTGCTAGAACTATGAGGTGAGATAAAAGCACTCACCTCATAGTTCTCCTTTAACTCAGGGCCGCCTGTGTTCTAGGCACCAATGATACTATGAGATGCGCACAACATCATTGGTTGCTAAGATGCTGGTTGCTAGGCTGCATTGTGCCATTGGTTACTAGGACACAGGCGGGTGCACTATAACGACCAGTGACACTGTGGGGGCCCTCTGTGTCCTAGCAACCAGTGACACAGTGTGGCCCGCATGGCCCCATTTGTTGCTGAGACACTGAAATCAGGTGTGCACTGAAATTTGTAATCTTCCAAACAGCAGAGGTGGCCTGGTGGAAGGAGAGCTCTCACTGTGGTCTTTATCAGTGCAATTAGGTTTCCCTATTAATCCAGCAGGTGGCGCACCATCATGGCGGTTACAGAGCTAGCGTCCTCCCATCACCCTAGGCTCAGTATACCGCGAGCTGTAGCTCACGGTATACTGAGATGCCGCAGCTGAAGCGGATCCCGACAATTATGCCAGGATCCGCCCAGCTGCGTGACTGACAGCTGGCTCTGCCTATCTAATCTAGAGGCAGGGCCAGCTGTACCCACCCCCTCCCCTGTCCGTTCCGCCAGTCAGCGCTGGCGGAGTGGGGAATCCAGCCCCTCCCCTGTCACGGCAGAGAGCCGTGACAGGATCGAGAGGTGAGCGAACGCCGGTATGTGTTCGCTCACCTCCCGATCTACTGAGCCGACCTGTGACAGTCTCATTGTCACATGTCGGCTAGAACTATGAGGTGAGTGAAAAGCGCCCCCCCTCATAGTTCTCCTTTAACAGTACCCTTCACTGGACATGCCTGAACTCAATCATTTGAAGGGGTATCCGCATGCCTTGGCCATGTAGCATATGTGTGATGGTCAGGTGTCCAAAAACATTTGATCTTAGTGTATAAGACTGAGGAAAATGCTGGGGAGCTCTTGCTCCGACTCAGCAATGGACATGCCAGACTCTCCGATCACTTAAAGGATAACTGAACTGGAAAAAAAAAAAAATAGTTATCCTTTGAAGCCGTAACTATATATAGCTTTCAATAAAAATTAGCAGAATCTCTGGAGCCCCTTTAACAGGTTCATAAAAGACCACTAATGCCAAGTAGCACTGAAAACACAGCAACGGATTGCTCTGACTGTCATCTATCCCCATTGTAGTCAATGAACTTAGCTAAAGTTGTGTGTTTTTTTTTACATGCAGAAGACGTGCTTCTTTTGTGCCTAATAAAGACCTTATTCAACACTTATCACATTAGCTCCCTCTCAAGGACACCGCCTCTGAGCCCAGCCACCATTCCATCACACAATTAGAATTTCAGGAACCTCGCAAACTAGCGCATTGCGGCTATAAATTGCAAAATGTTATTGAATCCCTGCGATTGTGTAATCTTTATTACATATTCCCTTTGTCACCCTACCTGTCTCCCTAACTAACCCCTGAGACGTGCAAGTAATTGGAGCGCCCCGGCCGTCCACTGCTGGGTGCTTCCGAACAAGGAAAAAAAAAAAAAAGGACCGCTAACCAAGACTGATTGTCATAATTCAAACAGTCACTTCTGATCCTGAATTAATGAATGAATCACATTAAACAAAATAAGCCAGCTCAGGAGGAGCTGCTACAGAATCCATGAAAAGGGCTTAATAAGAGCTCATTTCAAATTCCCTTTCATTATCAGGAGTTGAAACACCTCACCATAGAAGCTGCTGCACGTTCACTTTGTCGTAGAGGACACAGACTTTTTTTTACCTTCAACAAAGCAACCTTGCAATATTATATAAATTAAAAAAAAACCTCAGTATGTCCATTATACAATGAACAGCATTGGCATGTTTATGCAATACCTGCAGTGGTCATAATTGAAGCCTAATTGAACTTTTACTTAAAGGAGAAGTATGAGACGAGTGATTTTCACTCAGCCTCAAAATCTGGGCCGACCTGTGACAATGAGACTGTCACAGGTCGGCTCAGTAGCTCGGGAAGTGAGCGAACACATACCGGCGCTCGCTCACTTCTAGATCTATCCATGCAGAGAGCCGTGACTGTCACTCACGGCTCCCTGCAGGGATTCCCCCCACCTCCCCTGTCCGATCCTCCAGCGCTGACTGGTGAAATGGACGGGGGAGGGGGCAGGTACAGCTGGCTCTGCCTCTGGATTGTCAGAGCCAGCTGTCAATCCCGCAGCTGGGTGGATCCACAGACAGT